GCCGCCTCCGCCCCCTTGCTGGCCGCCCCCGCCGCCGCCCTGCGACTGCCCGCCGGAGCCACCGCCTCCGCCGCCGCCGCCGCTGTTTTTCCCGGAGTTACCTGCAAGAAACAAACGACGCATCGCTGTTGATTTTCAATTTTCTAGATAAGTTTAAAGGTAGGGTGGTATTAAGCAATCATCTACATCACTATTCTTGGGAACCACACACTACAATCCGCATCAGCTGCCGTGCCACAATGCATGATATTTCCAGACACGCAACATCAGTCCGGTAGCAAGTAGAAGTAGGCTAACTCTATGGATAATTAGGTTGGGTTGGTTTGAATTGGGTTAGGTTAGATTGAAAGAAACCTGAGCTCTTCGAAATAGGCGTACTCTTTACAAATATCTGTCATTACTTTTTTCCCCCAATATAATCCATTACTATTTCTAGACATACACAGCTACAAGATACTTCGATGCTATAAAACCTGCGCTTCGTTAACTCATACAAATGTCTCGGAAATCTTCCAGACTTTGAATGAAGTGGGCTATAGATGTGTGGATTCTAGATAAAAAAAATTTCGAACATCAGCTCACACAATTTAACAATTATTGTGATCTTGTGCACACTCCTAGCTCCATCGTCCTCCCTATGGGTCAGATTAAAATCCTGTATCAAAACACAAAAAGCGGAGCGTGATGTTATTACAAAATCAATTTGAAACTTCTAAAATCGTACTATTTATTGTTCTTTTTTTTCGCAACGAACATTCATGTCATCGTTTTTAATAGACGAGGGCATATCCTTTACGTATAACAGAGAGAGGATAATATCTAAGATCGAACCTTGCTGGACCCTTTTGTTCAATTGGAAAGGTAAGTAAATAATATTCTTTCGAGCCAGTACGGTATTTCCACTCTTTCAGATCGATGTTTCAGGTATGAAGCTATCCTATCTAGGACAACACCACGAATTCCATATCAAGGTAATTTTGATAGCAAGATGTTATGGTCAAATGCGTCAAAATCTTTCGATATATCTAAAAATATTCCAATGGGTGCTTCATTTTAGTTAGTTGACTTCAACATCATTAAGAAAATAAAAAAGGCAGTTTCTGTAGATTTTGATTTTCTGAAACAGTTGTGAGTCTAAAAATGCTTAGTTTTTTCTGAGAAAAATTTTCCATTCGCATATAAAAAGCCTATCTAATATTTTTGAAAAAACTGACAAAAGAGAAATTGGTCAATAATTTTGAATTTCATTTTTGTTCCGTTTTTAAAAAGTAGCTTCATTTTTGCTGTTTCGAAAATGTACAAATAAGCCTTGAAAATGAGAGTTAAAGGGTGTATAAAGACGGAAACACAAGTTTTTAATAATCAATCCGAAAATTCATCTAATCCAGATGCATTTTTTTAGTTTACGGACTATTCTCATGATTTCGTTGGAAAAAATTTCGAAAATTAACATTGTGTCGAAATTTTTTTTGAAAGCATATGATATTGAATTTAGCAGTTTTGGCCTCTTCGTGAGATCTGCCACAATTCTAGAAAAAATTAGGTTGAAGAGATTTGCAACCTTTTCCGGATTACTTGGTTCTTTTTTTATTATCCTTTAAAACAACATTCTCTACAAAGTATCGCGATGATGTGGTCGTATTTTTTTACGATATTCCACATTGCTTTAATGTTGTTTACTAGCGTTCAAAACATCCTGATATTCATTATTTTTGCTTGAACTATTACTTTCCTTAACAGTTAGTCTCGGAAGACGACATGGAAACCGGGTATATAATATATAATATAATAAATAAGTTATGATGTTTAGAAATAAAGTAAAGCGTTCGTTTATTTCCACACGATACAC